CAGGAACGATGGTTAGGAAACTATCCCCCTATATGACTGAAATACTGTTGGGAAAAGGCGTAACACCAAACAAACAAACAGCTGGACTGTAGTTCAGATCTTCTAATTAAGGATCTGACTTATATCGGATTGCTGTCAACTGCATCGAGAAAAGACATTTTGTCAAAATATTTATGGAACCAAATCCATATTGAAATTTTGCTGTTTTAATGAGTACTGACGTCTCAAATGGTAATCCGCAAATTTTGACAATCGTCGCTGTAGTGCTGTGCTAAATTCCTTCGTTACCGTGGGCACTACGCGACTATTGATTTTATTATGAAATTGAATGACTCGCCGGATAATCCTAAATTCCTAATGAATGTTCAGTTTTTATATGTCAGGGTACGTCACCTTGTCGTCATAAAGAAAGATAAATCATCACTACCCAAATTCTGTATTACGTTATGATTAACGTTATAGACAACAAACTCAATACCAGAAACAATATCAATAAATGAACAATCCTTGGTCACTGATCGCTCAGAAAACGTTTTTGTAATGTCCTTTTTTTTATTTGACAGTCGTTGTAATGTTTATATTCCGTATGAAATAATTCAAATTTTTCAATCAAAGTAAGCAATTAATGCAGTATCATGAATTTCATTGTTAAGGCGTAAGTATTTGGTCAACCGCGTGGTGCTTTTTTGTTTTGATATTTTGAAATCATATATCTGTATTTTCACTATAATTAACCAGTCGTGAATATTTAAATATGGCCCTATATAACTTGTTCTAATGATTTCATATTTAAAAGTGTCATAAATTGTCAACAAAACATGCATGCTTATGCCTCAAAACTAGTCCTCGTAACACGAGTTGCAAATTTAACTGTGTATATAGCACACGTGTGATACATTCCACCGAGAATAGCGTGAATCTTGATGTGTCTTTAAGAAAAGGACTTCATTGTGGTTGGTATTTAAAGGAATTGCTATACTGGTGAAAGACAGGACGTGTTCACTGATCATGTATTTCTTATTGACAGAATCTTCTAGAAGTTGTTGTATACCACATGATTTATCGACAAAAAAGTATCAAATTATATGTTCGTTAACAACCATCTATGTCATAAAAGCATGTTCGGTCGTAGGGATTATATTTTGTCGCTCATGGATAATCTTAATCTTTTCGCTGCATGGGGTGGAGTAATTGGTTTTGAATCAGTAGTCCAACAAAATATCAAGTAACAGACTTGAATGTGCTAAGAGTTCTGATATGCTAAAAATGCTTAAAAACGTATGGGTAGATCGTATCAAAGTTAAATAAACCTTTATCTAAATTATCTTAATCTTCAATATTTTATATCGACAATGACGTAATGCGTTAATCAATACATATGTATTAGATAAATCTGAATGACATTAACATTAGGATATTGTCAGAGGATTTATAACTGTATTTGTTTGGTCGTGGCTTATCGCCTGTATTGAATAGTTATATACTAGTAATGACTGGCAGATTATTAATCCAAATATTCGACACCATGAACCGTGGTGACCTTATCTCCACATGACATGTAAGTTTTGACAACTTACACTCTAATATAACATGAGGCAGCCACAATTGACAAAGTTATGGTGGCATTCTACGGCCACCAGTTTAAAATGAGACACAGGCAAAATTTTCTTTCTTAGTTTTGAATTTTTCATTCATTATTCTGTAAATGTCCTCGAAATGAATACACTAGGGAACAAAACTTTTCTCCTTATAAAGAATAAAATGTTGGTTTCCTAACTTGACCCGCGTGAGTCAGGTTAGAGCGTTAAGATTTCACAAGACTTGTCACACTGAACTCTGGAAACGTTAAAGAACATGTCAAATGAATGACTTAGACATGTTTCAATCATACAATATCCATTGCTAATAATTATTGTAACTTCAAAGGTTTGTTCAAGTCACATGACTTGTCTTAAAAGTATTCGGCGTTTATGTTGATGTCTAAATTTCGTTCAACATTATATAGATATATTTACGCTTCAAATCCAAAATGTAAAGAATTTATACAGAATTTCATTCTGGGACTTGTCATTTTAGCGTGATTTAAGTACAAAAAATCGTTTTTATATTTTTTCAATATTTTGCCTGAGTATCCCTTTAGCATAACATGATCGCGTTATATGATGAGCGTGTTAATTAAGTAACTATTGATAGATACTTTTTTCCTTCAATGTACATGAAGAGCTGAACATATATATAAAAACATATAACTATGAAATTAACAAAACAGTCAAAACAGCTATATACAATATTAACATGTAGTCAAATATAACTGTAGACATAAAGCAATATCAATTTACAGAAAACAGCAATCCAGAAATCAATATTTACAATATTTTTAGAAGCATACTCACATTAAAAGTAAATAAACAAATACGTAAACAAACAAACAAACAAACAAGTAAATAAATAACTATTGACTATAGAAATGTATCACAATGTCAGCTCTGTTTTACAGCTTTAAAGAATGTGTCAGAATGCTTGCAATTATTCAGGGGAGTACAGATGATAATTATTAGTCTTGCTCTTGATATTATTGCTAAATATTCATCAAAAAATATATGATATATATTAAGAAAGCATAAAATGTTCTTTCAATATGTGAGACAATCTTGTTCGAGACGAAAGTTAACTAGAAATTCATTTTCTATTGTACTTTTGAAACAATTTTTTAAACCTGATTAAATTGTTAACTGATTCTAATGTTGTACAATATTTTGCTGATCACTTGAAAAAATCACGTTACTTGCGTGGTTACCGTGTTCAGTTACTGAGCTGTTAAGTTACTGGTTTTCAGATCACATTAAGTATGTGGTTAACGCGTACAGTAACTGGTTGACCACATTAAAATGGCATAAACAATGCGGTAAACACGTTTAGTAACTTGATGACCATTTAAAAATTCACATTAATTATTTTGTTAACGAGTACAGTAACTGGTTGACCACATTAAAATCGCATTAGCAATGCGGTGAACACGTTTAGTAACTGGATGACCATTTAAATACTCACATAAATTTTGTGGTGAACGCGTTAAGTAATTGGTAGACTACTTAAAATCACATTGATAATATGGTTACCGCGTTAAGTTACATGTCTGAATTTACCCCTTTTATTTACGTTTACAGATATTTTCACTTTTTTCTGCAGACATGTTCACTTCTTCTGTGTTTACATGTATTTGCAGACATGTTCACTTCTTCTGTGTTTACGTGTATTTGCAGATATGTTCACTGCTTCTTTGTTTACATGTATTTGCAGACATGTTCACTTCTTCTGTGTTTACATGTATTTGCAGATATGTTCACTTCTTCTGTGTTTACGTGTATTTGCAGACATGTTCACTTCTTCTGTGTTTACGTGTATTTGCAGATATGTTCACTGCTTCTGTGTTTACATGTATTTGCAAACATGTTCACTTCTTCTGTGTTTACGTGTATTTGCAGATATGTTCACTGCTTCTGTGTTTACATGTATTTGCAAACATGTTCACTTCTTCTGTGTTTACATGTATTTGCAGATATGTTCACTGCTTCTGTGTTTACATGTATTTGCAGATATGTTCACTTCTTCTGTGTTTACATGTATTTGCAGACATGTTCACTTCTTCTGTGTTTACGTGTATTTGCAGATATGTTCACTGCTTCTGTGTTTACATGTATTTGCAAACATGTTCACTTCTTCTGTGTTTACATGTATTTGCAGATATGTTCACTGCTTCTGTGTTTACATGTATTTGCAGATATGTTCACTTCTTCTGTGTTTACGTGTATTTGCAGACATGTTCACTTCTTCTGTGTTTACATGTATTTGCAGACATGTTCACTTCTTCTGTGTTTACATGTATTTGCAGATATGTTCACTGCTTCTGTGTTTACATGTATTTGCAGATATGTTCACTTCTTCTGTGTTTACATGTATTTGCAGATATGTTCACTGCTTCTGTGTTTACATGTATTTGCAGATATGTTCACTGCTTCTGTGTTTACATGTATTTGCAGATATGTTCACTGCTTCTGTGTTTACGTGTATTTGCAGATATGTTCACTGCTTCTGTGTTTACATGTATTTGCAAACATGTTCACTTCTTCTGTGTTTACGTGTATTTGCAGATATGTTCACTGCTTCTGTGTTTACATGTATTTGCAGACATGTTCACTTCTTCTGTGTTTACATGTATTTGCAGATATGTTCACTGCTTCTGTGTTTACATGTATTTGCAGATATGTTCACTTCTTCTGTGTTTACATGTATTTGCAGACATGTTCACTTCTTCTGTGTTTACGTGTATTTGCAGATATGTTCACTGCTTCTGTGTTTACATGTATTTGCAAACATGTTCACTTCTTCTGTGTTTACATGTATTTGCAGATATGTTCACTGCTTCTGTGTTTACATGTATTTGCAGATATGTTCACTTCTTCTGTGTTTACGTGTATTTGCAGACATGTTCACTTTTTCTGTGTTTATTTGCAGACATGTTCACTTTTTCTGTGTTTACATGTATTTGCAGACATGTTCACTTTTTCTGTGTTTATTTGCAGACATGTTCACTTTTTCTGTGTTTACATGTATTTGCAGATATGTTCACTGCTTCTGTGTTTACATGTATTTGCAGACAGGTTCACTTCTTCTGTGTTTACATGTATTTGCAGATATGTTCACTGCTTCTGTGTTTACATGTATTTGCAGACATGTTCACTTCTTCTGTGTTTACATCTATTTGCAGACATGTTCACTTCTTCTGTGTTTACATGTATTTGCAGATATGTTCACTGCTTCTGTGTTTACATGTATTTGCAGACATGTTCACTTCTGTTTACGTGTATTTGCAGACATGTTCACTTCTTCTGTGTTTACTTGCAGATATGTTCACTTTTTCTGTGTTTACTTGCAGATATGTTCACTTTTTCTGTGTTTACTTGCATGGATATGTTCACTTTTTCTGTCTTTACTTGCAGATATGTTCAGCATGTTCGTCAGACGATAAAGAAGATTCGGGATGCTGGTATACTCTATGGTATATATGGTATGTAGAGATTTTCTTCTTCAATGAGAACGTATAATTGTTATTATGTTCGTGTTTAGATATAACCTTCAACAATTATGACATTCAAAATTCAAATAAGACTGACTTTAAAATTTTGGGATGGATTCTAAGAAAGAACAAAAAATCTAGATGTTGAAAATTCTTCGTAACAATTTTTACGTCGGGAACTGACAAAAATGGCGATTGTTACGACATTAAAATAGTGAAAGTATTCTCCTGATCAATAAGACATTTATGTTGAGTTTATGATTCAGAACTTTGGGGAAATTTTTCAGTTATGATATATGATTAAAGTAAAGAGTAAATAAATGTTATCGCTATCAAATTTACTTATTCATACCGTGTCATACACGTAACACACTTAACTGATAATTTATGAAAAAAATCATTTACAAGTATCACGATAACAGTATATTACATGTATAAGATTTCGGGGTATTTTAACGGTGTTTCGAAAAGGTAATATAAAATTGTTTTGTTTAAATTTCAGGTTTGTTTTAGGACTTTTTGTTGTAGTAATAGCTGTATTAGTCATCTTATACATCAAACATCGAACAAAAGAACGCTCACGTGCAAGGAGACGTAGAAGTAAGTATACGGATGCATTAGTCTTGAAACTGCACTGTGGTGTACCGTTAGGGACATCGTTTAAAAAAAAAGGCAGAAGTCTGTTATTACAACTAAATCTTACTGGTTTTAAAAGGAGATAACAATTCAAGAAATAATACCACTAAATAAGGTGTTGTACCGTGCTTTGATGTTTTAAACGTTGTGATGGCCCTAACAGATCATCCTAGTCTAAGAATCATTAACACTTGACGTCATATTTGTAATAGAATATTACATGGAAGTATGAGGTTCTTTTATCTTGTAGACCGGTTTTGAAATTGTAAATCTTTTAAATTGATAATTCTGTTTTAGCAAATTCTTAAAAAACATATTAGAGTCATGAATATAAAGTTGACAAACGAACTTATGAAAGGGCATGTTGATTAAATGCTTTAACTTTGCAACAAACAAATGGAACGCTCATTACGTACACATTTATAAAATTGTGAATAACTGACGTCATATTGAAATGGCGTCATGACGTAAGCAGGAAATACAAATTCCTCACAGTGATTACCTCCCTTGGCGGAATTGTAATCACTGCCTTTGAAGACATCACATGATCATGAAAGTCACATGACGTAACGTCGAAATTCAACCGTTACATAGAAAATCTAACGTCATTTTTCTCTTTCTGTTTTATTTTTAACGTTTAGCGCCTACGTTCGATATAGTTTATCAAAAAATTATCAAAAGTATACAAAATAACGAGAAATAAATTCAAAAGCTAAAAAATGTAAAATATCAAAATATTGTCTCGGTAGAAAATATTCTCATATTTTTTAAAATTATTTTTAAATATTCATATTATTTATTTATTCATTCATAAACATTGTTAAATAAATGAGAAAAAACTTATCTGATAGATAAAAGCAGTAGATAAAACAATTTTTGAAAAAAATATAGTATATCAGAAATTCTGATAGATATATATCGGACCTTGGTGGCAGAGATCTACGCCGAAGAATTAAGGGGAGATCACTGCGTGTTGATTGCAGGAAATAGTGACATTTAGTGAAATTAAAGAAATATCAGTGTCTATATCAACTATGCAGCTTATATTAAACGCTTATTTTGCACATGCCGGGTCTGCTATACTTCAAACTTCTTCAGCATTTGCTTCTCTTAAGATACAAACTGGTCTATAGGGCTGCATACTTGTTTGCTCTTAACTCTGTCGAAAAGATTTGTTCCTACAGCCAGTAAAGAGTATCGTTAACCTCTAACATTTGTATGGTCTGCCTGAAAAGAATATTGTTTTGCTGATCAGTTTATAAGAATTCCAGAAATGTAACAAAATCAGAAAGCAATTAAAGACTGTCTCAAATTAGCGATGAAACTATGTCTATACAGCCCCTTGAGTGACTTGTCATTACCCGGAGGTAGATAGATGAAAGAACGGTTAATTATATTCTAATTTCCTTGTCGTCTTGTATTACAACGGTGTTACGAACTGTTACGTCTTTTGAATACTTAGTATTTCCTTCAGGGACCAATTCAATCTTTATATAGGTGAAATGTTTTCATTTTTGATAAAACAACGTCCAAACCCCATTTATCGTGTTACATTTGCAAGCCCGTAATTACTATGTATGTGGTTTATTATATAGAGGATATTGAATGAGTGCAAGTTCAATACTGAATTTATTGCACGAGTTGAATAAAATTATATTATGCGAGCCTCTGGCGAGCATAATATTATTTTATTCAACTCGTGCAATAAATTCAGTAATTGAATTTATTGCACGAATTGAATAAAATTATATTATGCGGGCCTCTGGCGAGCATAATATTATTTTATTCAACTCGTGCAATAAATTCAGTAATGAACTTACAGGAATTTAATATTCTATTTATCACATACCCAAAATACAGACCGTTTAATTAAAGTGAAATAAGAGTCATTTTTCTTTGACGCGCCTATAGTTCAACGCTAACATTTAGCGCGTCTTTACATTATGTTTGTATAACGCTAATGACGTCACGTCAAAATATATGCACGGCCGTGCAATACCATATTTACGGAGTCGCAAAATCGGTACGGTTGTGTGATAAAATACTTATCACATAAACCGCGGCGCAGGAGTGTAATAAAGCCATGTAATAAAATCGATATTTCACTAATGTAATAACATTTTGACGTGACGTCATTTGCGCTATATAGAAACACAGCGTTAATAAGAGGTTAATACACGGCAGGAGAGGGCCGGAAGGTGATAATCGGCCCGCAAAATGAATAATGGACCCGAGGGCTTTAGCCCGAGGGTCATTATTCATTCAGGGCCGATTATCACCTTCCGGCCCTACGCTGACGTGTATTAATGTCTTTAATACACTTGGTAGATCTAATAGTAGCATTTAAAAAAAATCAAAACAGACTTTGAAGTTCTTTTCGTTGAAATTCTTGTGTTCTGTAGAGGTAATTACTGTTTGTGTGTTCAAAGAAGCATTTTTTTCGAAATGAATTTGTCGTATTTTTTCTTCAAATTTCAATAGTAACAAAAATGTGTTTGTACTAAATACGCTTAAGCTCTCATAAAAAAAATAAAGCGATTCGTGCTGACAACCTACTTTCACTTTTACAGTTAACTGTTTGATGACGTAAAATATGACGTCATTGTTTCAGTTTGTGCACGTGCACATGTTCTGCGGGCTGATAACTAGTTCTCGGCCCCGGGCCGCAAACTCATAATAGGTCACGTGACACTCATAATCAGTTGAAATCATAGGCAATTCTGTTACTATATATAGTAACAAGTGTATTAAAGCGCGCTAATGTTAGCGTTACAGTATAGGCACGTCATTAAAAATTTACTCATTTTAGCAGTTTACTGCTCTTATTTTATATATGTGATAAATAGAATATTATATTCGTGCAGTTTAAATACTAAATTTATTGAACTCGTTGAATAAAACAATATTATGCTCGCCAGAGGCTCGCATAATATGATTTTATTTAACTCGTTCAATAAATTTAGTATTAAACTACACTCATTCAATATCCTCTATACATGTATGTTTTAATTTTATTGGATAATCGTGACGTTTACATAATTTTTATATTCACGGCTGCTGTAATTTCATAAAAAGAATTCACGGCTGCTGTAATTTCATGAAAAAAATCTCACTTTGTTCTCTAAAAAAATTATTTACGAACAGCCGTTTATAACCTGTAAAAAAGCTTTATCACTAATAATGTTGCGTGCTTTGTAATTGGCTCGTTGGTCACAATTCCCCAAACGCATTTATTTAATACGACATTAAAAAGGTTTCAGACAGCTTACGACTAATTCTCTTAAAAATCCATAACAATTAGTTGAGACATATTTAACAGCACATTAAACACAACGACGAACTTTTCACGGAAGCTTTTCATTCAGCATTGATTTAACTGACAACAAACTGGCAATATTTCTCGAGTCATTGTCCTTTTAGATTTTTCAATAAAACCGGTTTGTGTAAAGTACGAGACATATTGAGTGTAAATCACTTGAAATTACGATATGCATTTAATAGAACCTTTCAAGGTATGCTTCCCTTCAAATCGTGTAGCAGTCTGTAAATGATAATAAATTTTCTATGAAAACTGAAACTGAATAAAACCCCGTAATTTTAGAATGATAAACTGTCAATATTACATTATGTTGACGTCAATAAATAACTATTACCCCTCTTTATGTTTGACGTAAATAATACGATTACAAATAGCACTAATTGATCGTTATAATTATAGTAATTGTTTCACTTATAGCTATTCACGTGAAAGTATAATTATAATGTCATGTAAACAATTAGGCCTATTAACTTTTCTTCAACAACATCATCTTGCCTGGTACTTTGCTTTTATCGACTTCCGATTTTTATCGACTTCCGGTTTAACACTGCTCACTATTTTATTTTAGGAAGTACACGGACGGTTCCAATACATTTGCCTACGGGTCCCCCGGGTTCGCAAAACCTAGTCAAACCCCCTTCTATGATGAAGCACCGGGGCAAAAACCCGAGTACCACTTTCCCGGGCCATTCCTACTACAACGTGACTATGGGGCCAGCCCCCTCTAAGTAATGTGATAGCAATTTATAATAAAAAGTTTTTTACATGGCGGTACATCCTCAAAGCTGACATAAATTTTGAAATGGAAGAAAAACTTTTCATCCCTTTGACTTTTCTCCAAAAGTTTTTTTTTTGTGTTTGATGTGTTTTTTGTCCCTTTTTCCCCTTTTTAACAATTACAACGAGACTGTTGCTGCTGGGGAAAACGAAAAGATAAAAGGGTTTTTTTTATTTTTCTCTGTAAAAACTTTGGGTTTTAAAAAATTAACTTCAAGATAAAAGTCGGAAATTTTATGTTAGATTTTTAATTTCAAAGCGATTTTGTATAACGTTGCAGTCCCGTCTATCTTTTTTAAATGTGTTTTATCTGTTTAAATAAGCAAAGCAATTTTATGCAAATGATATTGTTTCCATTTTCCCTTGAAATCGAAAAGGGTTTACCCCCCCCCCCCCCCCAAAAACCTTGAAGCGAGCGATATTTCTAAGGTTTGCCAGTCACGTTTAAAATAAGACATTTTTTAAAGTATGGAAACGCCTAGTTTCTGTCTAAAAAAATTTATTTTATTATGGGCCATAAAACCTAGCTGGTATATTTCAGTCAAAATATTTTTTGTAATAGCAAAAAAACGTTTCAAAATTCATTCGGTGTTTTTTAATTACATGTATATGCTCACCTTCCGAGAGAGAACAAATTAGTCGTGCTTGATCTTTAAAATTAGATTATTTTTTAAGGAATAATTGATGATACTGAATTAATACAGCTTTAGTAAAACGTCGATGGCGACCAATGTTTGCCAAATAAAGAATCCATGGCCGTTAATCAGCAGAAAATTTGTTTTAAAAATTTCATTAGGCTATGTATTTCTTTTTTAATATGTTCGCGGTCGTCTTTTCAGTTCCATTATTTACCAATTAGTGCAAGTCCGTTAGGACCTAAGTCCTATTTATCCATTACAAAGTAATCTATAGTGTTTATTTAGAAACTAATCCGTAAATTTACACAATGGAATATGAATATGCATAATCATTGTGGGGTAATCAATATTAAAGTAGGCTTTTTTTCTAACTCGATCATGCTAAATTTTGGTGATAGGTTAGTGAGATGTACCCAAAAGTTTCAAGGAGTTATACTCCAAGAATTGCGTGCTTTTAAAGGGACTCCACTGAAGTTTTTTACATGACTTTTTGACGAGACTGGAAGAGGTTTTCCGAGCTTTGTGTACAAATTGATGTAGGTTTGGACTAATAACTGGTGTGCAATTTTTCACCTCAGATTTTCCAGAATAATCATTTTTATTGTTAAAAAAATACCCCAAAATGCAAAGCGTTGCAGCGCTTATCAGTAAAAAAGTCCAGCTATGAATTGCACAAAAATCGATTTTCAATTAAAATCCGAGTAGATCTATATGTTTTTTTACACGTTCCAGATTTTTTTTCCATTTTAAGTATTTCACTTGACTTTGAAAGATTTTCAAATTTAATGTTGTTGTTTTTTCCTTTGGACCACAGTTTAAGTTTTACTATCTAGACGCCAAATTAATTTGTCTGAAAGAAATTGAATATAACGTATATCACTTCACAACTGTCATATGCAATAGCTTCTTTCTGCAGCATACGTATGTGCATATGATTGATTGATTGATTGATTGATTGATTGATTGATTGATTGATTATAAATATTAACTATTTTATATATTTATTTATTTATTTATTTGTTTATTTATAGTACTTTTCTATTTGATGTATTATTTCTACTTGCAATAAAATTTTATTTACATGGGTATATCATTTCTTTCAGCTACGAGCATGCGCATGGTGACGTCATTAGACATAACACAGCCGCTTCCTCCACCTTATGTTGAATCTACACAAGGTCACGCGAATCCCACGTGATCATTCATTTATCATTTTACAGACAATCATTTCAATCAGAAAAAAAGATTATTAAAATGTAAAATATTGATTATGTTAATTCGGGACAACTAAGGTCAAAGGTTATTGATATCAAGGTCAAAAGATTCGAGACACTGAGCATTGTGGTGTGTCAAGTGGATAGATCTACGTTCAAGATGAAAGTGAAAACGTCACATTATGTGTGCATGCGCAAATGCGGGGATAAAGTGGAAGACAAACTCTATCTGGGTCCATGTGTGCATAATGGACAACTGAACTCTTTGGTATATACATGTACTGACGGAAGAGAAGTCAAATATACAGATAATGACTTAATATACACCCTAATCTATACGTTAATTTAGGTTTTATAAGCAAATGATTTTTTATACGTTATATAGATCTTCATTAATTCTCATCGTTGCCATTTTCAACTCCGTCCATCATTTCCATGTTTAAACATGGTGCATAAAACGTGTTTTTGTTTGTTTGTTTGTTTGTTTTTTACTTATCGTTTGTTCACATATTTTTTTTTTTAATTTTATTGAACAGCGCCCTTTTTAACAATGCATTTATATCAGTTTGGCATTTCATTTTTTTCCCTGAGACTTATGTTATGTTGTATGACATAGTGGCAGAGACTTCATAATGGCTTTCATGACGTCATGCGTTTTCCTTTTGAAGAAAGACATTGGCAAACTCCTATATCAAAGGCATACTGGCTATAGTGATTTATTTATTTTGTGCATAGACCTTTAAATTTGCCTTTGTAATGTACGAATAAAAGCAGTTGTGGCATCGTACATATGTACATGTACAATTCTGAATATTGCCAAATCCACGTTATGCATTGGTTGATTGTTTTGTACAAACATGCGTATCAAAAACTAACGAAATATGGCAAATATCTCGAATTTGAGACAAATTATCACCATTTTCTCTATGAGAATAACCAGGCTATTCCTACGCAATTACATATATACATGTATATATGCGCCAATACATTAACAAATCTTTCAAAGAATCAGTGTATTTCTTAGAGGAAAAAAAGTGCCACACATTTTTTTGTCTTACATATTTGAATAAAAGTTTTTCATGTTTTACATACAACATGTAAAAAGGAGAGCGTTTGATTATTTTTCTATGCTATTTTTATCACAATTGTTACATGTGTTGTTTTTAAAGTGATTATTTTGATTGTTATAGTAAAGGAATAATAATGTTGAAATATATTTTAATTGCATAAAGCAAATCTGTGATAGAAAATAAAACACATGATTACTATATTGCGTGTTTTGTAGTCATTCTTTTTTCTCATGTGTTTGGAAATTATTGTTTAGGGATGTACTAGTATGCATTAGAAAATGTGTCTAAAATGTTTACTAGAATTAACTTATTAAAGTAATTGGGAAGAAAAAGTTCAATCCACGCATATCTCTTAACATATTGACAATGCCATTTCAAGTTGAATTTACCATATAACATTGAATTTTGCTTAAAATGTCGTGTCAGCTGCTTAAAGAACACAATAGTTTCACCTTCTTTTTAAATAATTTTAGACGTTTCATACCAAAAACGAAGATTCCTAATAAAACTAGTATTACATGTACATATCTTGTAGTGCCCATATGTAGATGACCACCCAAGATTTGTAATTTACAAATACATGTCTATAGAAGCAAAAGAGTAAATACGTATTTTTAGAACCGGTGGCCTTGACTTGAAACAACACACCGTATTACCGGCGGCAGTGATGGCTGATCACTGCAGTGATGGCAGATATCTGCAAATTACCGATCGATACAGGTAGGTTATAAATTTGGTTGGTTTAATTTTATCACACAAATACGGTCCATTTCATTGCTATAAAACTATTGTCCATTGAATGGAGATACTGTAAGGTAATTTTGGACTCGTTTTTTCCTGTTTTAAGACTATTTTGAGCAGGTTAAAAGTGACAGTCTCGGAAAAATCCGTGAAAATGTCTGTTTTCTGTTCAAAATATCTCAAGTTTTAAGTAAATGGCAGGATTTCCTGTAATCAATATAGACGTTCATCCATTGGGGTCACGCAAGCCAAATATCTACCCCGTGAGTCTTTTCTTGAAAGTTTTACAGACGCTCAATCTTGTCCGATCGAAGAAAAAATGCTGCCGTTGTAGGCAGATACATATTATAAATGCTGCCGTCGATGGCAGAAATACCATGAAAGTGGCTAACATTCTGACAGAAAATCAAGTTCAATCTTTTATCAATTCCTCTTTTCTTTGCGTCCTTTTAGTCGGAATTGAGACGTTAAACTATCATTTCTAATATTTTCTCAAGATAAAAAAGTTATTAATGCGGTATCACACCGTATTACCGGCGGCAGTGATGGCTGATCACTGCAGTGATGGCAGATATCTGAAAATTACCGATCGATACAGGTAGGTTATAAATTTGGTTGGTTTAATTATATTACACAAATACGGCCCATTTCATTGGTATAAAACTATTGTCCATTTAATGGAGATACTGTAAGGTAATTTCGGACTCGTTTTTTCCTGTTTTAAGACAATTTTGAGCAGGTTAAAAGTGACAGCCTCGGAAAAATCCGTGAAATGTCTGTTTTCTGTTCAAAATATCTCAAGTTTTAAGTAAATGGCAGGATTTCCTGTTATCAACATAGACGTTCATCCATTGGGCCCACGCAAGCCAAATATCTACCCCGTGAGTCTTTTCTTGAAAGTTTTACAGACGCTCAATCTTGTCCGGTCGAAGAAAAAATGCTGCCGTTGTAGGCAGATACATATTATAAATGCTGCCGTCGATGGCAGAAATACCATAAAAGTGGCTAACATTCTGACAGAAAATCAAGTTCAATCTTTTATCAATTCCTCTTTTCTTTGCGTCCTTTTAGTCGGAATTGAGACGTTAAACTATCATTTCTAATATTTTCTCAAGATAGAAAAGTTATTAATGCGGTATGTGCATCGAAAAAAGCTTTTTAACAACATGCAGATACAATACAAAAAGTGATGATTTAGTACGACAAAATTGCACTATAAATAGGGAAATGGACATGAAAAACTTCATTTTTCTATATTCATGCATGTGTGCTTGCTTGATCTGTTGCGTCTG